TGTAGACTAGGCAATTTTTATTTAAGCAAGTCACGACGAAGAGGAGTATATATATATGTATACGAGATTCGACACTGTGATGCACCTGATGAAGGGGGAGGAGGAGAAATGACGGTACTCCTCTCAGAGCGAGTAAAAGTGTCATAATTCGTGTCCTGTGGAGATGATGCATTTTCATATTATTGCATAACTAGGATTTTAATAACTGTGCGCTTAAGTCGAGAGGTGTAATCACCTTTATGAATCTTGAGTTCATAGACAAATTATTATTTGTCTCTTGGGTGTGTTTTTTTGGGTTTTAATGTGGAAAAGGCATTATTTATGACTTGGGAGTTTTATGCAAAAAAAAACGGTGATTCCCCTCTTAATCTAGTCGCAAGTGACGTGACGATATGATAATTAACCTTCTATTAAAGGCACGTACACAATTACATATATGTAGTTGTTTATCAATTCCTGCCTTTTATTGCCAACTTGATGAATGGTTTTCAACCCTTTGGAACAAGATAGGAAACTTGACAAAAACATGATAGGGAATTTGATAATTTTATTAAATGGTTGTCTTTTCTGTTTGACAATTATTATTATCTTTTATTTTTTTTACAACTTCTTCGATAATTTGGAAATCCGGGAAACCCCCAATTTTTTTTGTCATGAAATCGACCTTTCTAGAAGCAATTTTCGTAAATTTCGACTTGCAGGGTTGGGTAGTTGACAAAATTGCTAATTCGACTTTTATGGTTCATTTACAATGCTTCATAAATTGAAATATCAACTAAACACTACGTTTCATTAAATAAATATTTGATTACAAAAATAAATAAATAAATTACTCTTAGGGTTCATTCACAACGCTTCATAGATTAAAACAAATTATTAAATACTAAATTCCATTCAATAAAAATTCTAGTAGAAAATAATAACAAATGACTTTTAGGGCTCATTCACAACGCCTTATAAAAAATGTAAAAATGTAGATACTAAAATTACTGAATTCTATTTAAATAAAAATACGACTAGAAACTAAAAATTAAAAAAGGACTGTAAGGGCTCATTCACAATGTCTTATAAAAATTATAAACATTCAGATAATAATTACTAAATTTTATTAAATACAAGTTTTATTGAAAAAAATAAAAAATAAATAATTGACTCTAAAGGCTTATTCACAACGCTTCAAAAAATAAAAAATTTACTGAATACTAAATCCTGAAAATTCGATTACGAAAAAATGACAAATGACTCTTAGGGTTGATTCACAACGGGTCATAAAAATTTTGAATTTATGCTACTAAATACTGAATAAAAAATAAAAAATAATTAATACAATTAAAATAAAACTTGGATTACAAAAAAATAACAAATGACTTTTAGGGTTGATTCACAACGTGTCATAAAAAATGTAAAAATTTAAACACTAATTCCTGAATTCTGTTTCGCTAAAAAAAAAATTCGATTAAAAAAAAGGCAAGTAATATTTAAGTTTCATTCACAACGCCTCATAAAATTTGTAATATTTACTAAATTCCGTTAAATAAAAATAATAATTAAAAAAAATTTGAATAAAAAAATTCGACTAAAAAGAAGCTAAATGACTTTTAGGGTTCTTTCACAACGCATTATAAAAAAATCCATAAATGTAATAAATACTAAATTCAATTACAAAAAAAAACCCAAATTACTTTTAAGGCTCATTCACAACGTTCCGAAAAAAATTCAAAAATTTACTAAACATTTCTTTCTTTCTCTCTTTATTTTTTTTTTAATTTGAATTGTGAAATTTTTAGTTACTAAATGTTGACAAATTATCATCGGGAGCTTTTTTTTAATTAAAATTTATTATTATGTAAGAAAATATATACAAAGTAACAAATTTATTCGTAATTTCATACACTTATAATATATAGTACATAAAATACAGAAATGAGATAGAAAGAGAAAGAGAGAGACAGAGAAAGAGAGAGAGAGAGAGAGAGAGAGCGAGAAAAAGATGATTGAAGGAAAAATTATATGCGAGGGGTTAAGAAAATGTCTGAGAGACGAAGGCAGGTAAAGGTTAAGGTACAAAAGGTGATTGACGTTTATGCAAAAAAAAAAAAAAAAAATAAGGAGAAAAAAAGTGCAAAAGATATATCATTTCTAATTCAATTTTTCCATATGTAATTATTTCTTCTAATTGAATTTTTTTTTCATAAATTATATATATGGAAAATACCAAGTTACATTGTAAACATGACACGTACCGCCAGTAAGTAACATATTTTCATGAAATTTCACTATTTCCAGATGTTTATGTTTCTACATTAGAATGAGTGAAAAAATATATAAAAATAATTTCTTTCGAACTATGGCAAAATTTATAAACTAATGGAGTCAATTTAACAAGTTTTTATTTTATTTATATTACTTATTTATTTTATTTATTTCATAAATTTTCATAGAAGTGTCATTTAATTAAATTTAATTAAATTCTAAAAAACAGGTTAATTAGTGGAGTAAATTATTAATTAAATAAATAATTAGTTAGTTAATTAATTATTTTGTAAATTAGTAAATTAATTATTTAGTTAATTTAATAGTAAACTAATTTGTTAATTAGTAAATAAATTATTTAGTTAATTAATTAGTTAGATAATTAATTTGTTAATGAGTAAATTAATTATTTAGTTAACTAAATAGTTAGTTAACTAATTTGTTAATTAGTTAATTAAATAGTTAATTAATTATTTATTTAATTAAATAATTAATTAGTTAGTTAATTAATTTTTTAATTAGTAAATTAATTATTTAGTTAAATAAATAATCAGTTAACTAATTATTTAGTTAATTTACTATTTAGTTAATTAATTCGATAATTAGTAATTTAATTAATTAGTTAATTAATTAGTAATTTAATTAATTAGTTATGTAATTAATTAGTTTGTTAATTATAGAAATTAATTTGATGGATTAATTGGTAAAGACCTATGGAACGATAAATAAAAAAAATTGCAGAACTAATAAATTTGCGATATGAGGGTTTTATAATTGCGACAAGAAGAAGTAAGTGAACATGATATTTTATCTTCTTCGATTTATGAACCTTTTCGATTCTTGTTCAACAATCGATTTATGGACCTTTCTATATTTATCTACTGGAGTGATGTTCCTTAATTGAAAACATTGTTTTACAAGTCATGAAGTGCATGTTTACAAAAAAGAAAAATTTTCTTTTCTTTCTCTTCTTTTCTTCACTCATCAAACGAGAATAATGAGATAATTTTACCTTTATAATAGACACTTGAAAATTTCATTTTTCAAAAGTAAAAAAAAACTTAAAAAATTTTTTTTTTAAAATTCTCTTGTAAGCCGCTGATTTCAAGGAAAAAGAGTATAAAAGGAAAAAATGAAGACAAAAACATAAAAAGAAGAAATAGAAAATAAAAAAAATAAAAGTAGAAAAAAATTTTTTTTTTTGTTTTTTCGTTACTTTGTTTTTTTCAAATCAGAGAAAAAAATATAATAAAAGAAGAAAAAAAGAAATATATGTTAATAAGAAAATAAAATAAAAATGAAGAAATAGAAAAAATTTTTTAAAAATATAAAAAATAAAACTTTTTTTAAATATAAAAAAAAATTTTTTTTAATTTTTTATTTTTATTTCATTTAAACGGGTTTGAATAAATAAGTAAATAAATAAATAGAATAAACATAAAAAGAAGAAAGAAAACAAAAAAATATTTATTTTTTAATAATAAATTTTATTTTAATTTTTTTTTATTTAATAATAAAAAAAATAAAACAAAATAAAGAAAACAGTAATTAAAAAAAGAAAGAAAAAAAGAATAGAGAAAAAAAATTGAAAAGATGGCGGAAAATTATTTATTTCTTCGCATTTAATAAATAATGAAAGAGAAAATAGGAAAAGAAAAAAATGAAGAAAGAAAGCAAAAAGGAAAAAACCAGAAGAAAAAAATAGAAAATTTGTTTATTTACTCGTGTACTAAATAAATAAAGAATAATCAAAACAAAAAGAAAAAAATGAAGACAGAAAAAAAAACAAAATAAAAAAAGAAGAAAACAGACAATTATTTAAAAAAAAAAAAAAAATTAAAAAAAAATTAAAATTAATTAAATTAATTAATTAATTAATTAATTATTAATTATTAATTAATTAAATTTAATTTTTTATTTATTTATTTTTTTTAATTATTTATTTAATAGTGTACTGAGTAAATTAAAAAATAAATAAAAAGATGAAAATAAAAAAGAAACCAGAAAATTATTTATTTATTCGTATACTAAATAAATTTTAAAAAGTAGAATTAAAACAAGTTTTAAGTTATGTTTTAAGAATTAAAACAAAAAAAATCAAAGAAATGAGAAAAGAAAAAAAAACAAAAAAAGAAGAAACAGAAAAAAAAAAAATTTTTTTTTTATAAACGAAAACAAAAAAGGTAGAAAATTAGAAAAGAAAGAAAAAACAAAAAACAAAACCAAAAGAAAAGAAGATAAAAAAAGGAAAAGTAGAGATTTAGAGCTCAATAAAGTAACTGAAGAAAGAATGAAAACACTGAAGAAGGAGAAAAAAAAGAATGGCGAAAAAAGATGAAGAAGAAGAAGAAGAAGAAGAAGAAGTAAAATTTATTGAAGAAAATATTTAAGTGGTAAGAAAATAAAAAAAAATTAAAGTTAAGATAATGTTATCAAAAGAAAAAGAAGTAGTTGAAAAAAAAAACAAATGGGAAATAGAAGTCATTCATAAAAGTAAACTCCAAGGGGATTCCCCTATTCAGCTCCATTCACAGCCTCGACATTGTCGGGGGGAGTCCCTTTTACATACATTAACGTCGACGTAATACGCTCGAGGGTTGGACCTCACTTTTCTGAATTGATTAGAATCGATCGATTTTCATGATGCACTGGTCATAATAGAAGTGCATTGTGAAGAGGGCAGGGATGACCCCTTTCACTCTTAGAACCACGTTCATAAGGCACTGTATATAAAGAGCCTCGCCTCTTACAAAGAACCCACAAGTTGAAACCCATCGTCATCTGCATCTCAAGTTTTTCTTATTCTCCCTTCCTCCTCCTCCTCTTTTTCTTATTCTTCTTTTTTTCTCGAAAAAAAAGAGAACAAAAATTATCTTTTATCAGTGTTTTTTACAATAATGTACAATCTTCAGGTAAGATTATCACTCGAAATTTTTTTTTTTTTTTTTTGAAAAAAGTGTTTTTTTTTGTCAGTTCTTTTTTGTTTTGTGAAAAGGTAGGAAAAAGGACTTATACTGAACAGAGAAAAAAATTCTGCGCGAAAAAAAGTGATTTTAGAAAAAAGTGTGTAAATTTTTTTTTATCCCTTTAACCCCCTTAATTGGGGGTTAAATTAATAAATTAATTTAACCCCTTTTTAGGGGTGGTTTTTGTTGGATTTTTTTCCTCCCTTAGGGTAATTTTCAATATTAGTCCCGAGGGAAAAAAAATTGGAAAATAATTTTTTTTTTCAATAATATTTTTTAATAATATTTTTAATAATATTTAATAATATTTTTTGTAATAATATTCTTTTACGAATTTTCAATATTAACTGAATTTATTTTTTAATATTAAGTGGAAAAGAAAGAAATGGTTACAATGTATTTTTTGAGAAAGGAAATAAAGTAAAGGGAGTTGTAAAAAGAGTTGATAATTGAAAATGGAACGATAGCCGCGCGCCTTAATTGCCTGTTGTATTTTGATCAGTCGAGGGAGGGCGAGGGTTCGAATCTCCTCTGGGGTGGATTTTTTCTAATGTCGCATTTAAATTAATATAAATAAATAAAAAAAGACAGTAAATTTGCAAATTAATTAATATGTAAAAATTAAATATAAAACAAATGTTTAAAATTAATATGTAAATTAATAAATATAATAAATAAATAAATAAATAAAAAAGGCAGTAATTTGACAATTAATTAATATGTAAAATTAAAAAGTAAAATAAATATTTAAAATTAATATGTAAATTAAAAAAATATAATAAATATATAAAATAATGCAAAAACAAAATTATAAATAAATAAAATAACAAATGAGCAAATAAATAACAAATAAAATAAATTAGTACATAGAATAAAATAAAAAGAAATGTAAGTAAAAATAAATATAAATAAATAAATATAAATAAATAAATAAAAAGGAATGTAAAAACTAAATAAAACAAAAACTAATAAATAAATAAAATACGAATAAATAAATACGATGAATAATAAAATGCGAATAAATAATATGTAAAATAAATTAATAAATATAATAAGAAAATTAATGAATTTAATAAAAAAAATAATAAATACAATAAATAATAAAATAATAAATGAATAAAAAAGAATAAAATAAAAGAAAATAAATAAATAAATAAAAAAAATAAAATAATAATAATAATAAGAAAACTAATGAATTTAATAAAAAAAATAATAAATACAATAAATAATAAAATAATAAATGAATAAAAAAAAATAAAATAAAAAAAAAATAAATAAATAAAAAAAATAAAATAATAATAATAATAATAATAATAATAATAATAATAATAATAATAATAATAATAATTAATACAAGGAGTAAAAAAAGTAAAAAACAAAGAACAAGCAAAGTAAATTAAAGTAAATAAAAAGCAAAGCAAAGCAAAGTAAATAAATGAATTAAATAAAAGACTTGATAAAAAATAAACAAAATAAATAAAATGCAATAAATAAAAAGTAATTTAATAAATAAAATAAACATTCAACAAATAAATGAAATAAAAAACTAATTAATAAAAAATTAACTAATAAGCAAAATAAAAAAACAAAATGAATTAAAAGTACGAATTTAAAAATGAATTAATAAATAAATAAAATTATTAATAAAAAGTCAAATATAATATTGAAAATAGGTAATTAAAAATTCTAGTATATAAATAATAAAATACAGCAAATAAATTAAATAAATTAATTAAAATAAATAAATTGACATAAATAAATTGAAAGAAACAAACAAAAAATAAATAATTTAAAATAAATAAATAAAAATAAATTAATTGAAATAAATAAATTTAAATAAATAAATTTAAATAAACAAATTAAAATATATAATTTAAAATAAATAAAATTATATAAATAAAAAAATCTACATTCTTTTGAATAGAAAAAAATTCCTTCGTCCTTATCGAAAATATTTTTCTCCTTCGATTTTTTTTTTGTTGTCCCTAAAGTATCAGAATTTTTTTTTTAAAATAAAAAATGCGGCATTTGTAATATTTTTTAAATGAAATCCATTTTTAGAGGTAGTTATTATAAACTGTTTTTTTTCTTGTTGCATTTTTTTTCAAATTCCCAAAGTGGTAGGAAAATTGCACTGAAATGCGTGTAAATAATAGACTGCTTAACGCTTGGAGACAAGTTAACATAACATTTACGGTGTCGACATAAGATTTTCTATGTTTGCTGCTTATTTCAATGACTCAAGATTCCATCTTCCACCTGAGGGGGGAACACGGGGATTTTATATGATAAATCTATTAATTTTCTCAACAACCTGGATTATTATATTTAAATATACATTTCAATTGCAATAATCACGATTAATCATCAATAATTTTTTTTCTCTTGTATTTTTTTAACGATTTATTTAAATTTTATTTTTTTTTAAATTTAAAAAAAATTTTTTTTTTTATTTATTTTATTTTATTCTCTTTTTTAAATATTAGCAGTAGTATCATTAATAGAAAAATAATATCTAAATTATTTACTAATGTAAACATAAGAATTAAAATTAATTAATTAATTAATATAAAAATACCGATTAAAATTATTTATTAATATAAAAATAACGATTAAAATTATTTATTAATATAAAAATAAAAATAACAATTAAAAATAAATTAATTAATGATTATAAATTTTAAGAGAAAATAACTATTACAAAATTATTACTAAATTATTACTAATTTACCTAATACTAAATTATTAATTAACACTTTTTATTTATATTATATATTTAAAAATAATTTACATAAAATTAGAATTAATTTTGTATTTTTAAATTATTATTTTTATTAATATACATTTTAATGAAAAATTTTCTTTGAGAAATTTTTAATTTAAATTTAATATTATAATCGTTTTTTAATTATACTTTTTAATTTATTTACTGAGAATTTTTTTGTCTCTACGCTCAGAAATGCGAATTAAGTGGCAAAAGAGAAACAAATAGTTCGTAGAGTGCAAGAATGTTGCAAAATGCACCCACACAAAAAGCATTATAAATTATTTAGTTACAGAGTAATTTTAAAGTGAAACAACATCAATTTTTTAATTACCCTTTTCTTAATTTTTTTATATAAATAAATAATTTATTTTATCTATTTTATTAATTGTTTATTTATTTACTAATTTATTTACTTAATTCTTTATTTACCAATTTATTTACATAATTATTTATTTACTAAATTATTTACTTAATTCTTTATTTACTAAATTCTTTACTTAATTCTTTATTTACTAATTTATTTATTTACCAAATTATTTACATAATTATTGATTTACTAATTTATTTATTTACTAAATTATTTACATAATTATTGATTTACTTATTTATTTAATTATTTGTTTACCTAATTATTTATTTACTTAATTTTTTTCAAAATTAATTACCTAATTATTTATTTACTTTATCATTTACAAAATTATTTAGTTAATTATTTATTTACTTATTTACTTAATTACTTATTTATTTAATTATTTGCTGAATTATTTTCTAAATTATTTTCTTTATTATTTACTAAATTATTTACTCAATTAATTATTTACCTAATTATTTACTTAATTATTTATTTACTTATTTATTTACTTAGATATTCAAACACTTTTTTAATTACACTATAAAAAAAGCAAATTGTCCATAAATATCAATTCTTTTTCCTTTTCAATTTTCTATTAAAATAATAGAATTTATCAAAACGAAATCAAAAAATTATTTTATTTCCTCACATTGAATATTGCGAAAATTGAAAATTATTTCAATTAAAATAAATTTTCTTCAATTAAGGGCATTTGAACCTTGATGACGTTACAGATTGTGCAAAGCATGTGTGACGTCATCAAGGTTCAAATGCCCTTAAGATGAGATAAATTAATTTTAATCCTCTTAATTTTAATCGAGTAGAGAATGAATTTTCTAATAAACATTGCCATTTATAAGTTTGCACTTGATTGGTAAAAAATAGAATAAAATAAAATAAGACTTTAAATTGAGGTAAATGTCATGTTGAGTATTTTCTTTTTTTTTGAAACATTCTTTAGAATCTTTGAAGGTCTTCCATACATACGTACAGTGCAGAAGAATGTTTGAAAAGGGCGAGAGAAGATAATACTCGGAAAAAACTTTGCTCCTTACGTCAGTCGAAATGACATTTTGAAGTGTAAATGTAATTTCGCTTTGAAGAAAGTTTAAATTTTCATACTATTCATTACGAAGAACATTACGTATAGTAAATTTTTTTTTTTAAATTTAAACTATTATTTTTTATTTAAATTTTCTTCTTTCGTTTTTAGAACTTTTTCAAGAACGTCTACTTTTATTTTTAATTATTTTTTCTAGGTTTTATTTATTTTTATGTATTTTAGTTTTTATTTTTATTTACTTCTCTATTTTTATTTATTTTTTTATTTTTATTTACATTTTTTTATGTTCTGTATTTTATTTTAATTTTTATATTTTTATTTATTTTTGCATTTTTATTAAGTTCGGCATTTTACTTATTTTGGAATTTTTATTTCCTTTTGGTATTTTTAGTGAGTTCTGTATTTTATTTACTTTTGTATTTTTTAGTAAGTTCTGTATTTTATTAAGTTCTGTATTTTTATTTATTTTTGTATTTTATTCAGTTACATAGTTTACTTATTTTTGAATTTTCTATTTACTTTTGTTTTCTTATTCAGTTCTGTATTTTATTTCCTTTTTTTTACTCATTTTTGTATTTTATTTATTTCTGTATTTTTATTTGGTTCTGTATTTTATTTACTTTTGTGTTTTTATTTATTTCTATATTTTATTTACTTTTTTATTTTTACACAGTTTTGTATTTTATTTATTTCTGTATTTATATTTATTTTTATATTTTTATTTGATTCCGTATTTTACTTACTTTTATATTTTTACTCAGTTTTGTATTTTATTTATTTCTGTATTTTATTTATTTTTGTATTTTTGCATTTTTATTTACTTTTGTATTTTTATTTATTTCTGTATTCTTATTTACTTTTGTATTTCATTTTTTTCTTGTTTATTTATGTTTACTTATTATTTTTCATTTTTTTATTTTATTTCCTAATTTTTGTTTGTTTATTTATATTTATTTTCTCCCTAGTTTTTTATTTTTATATTTTTATTTACTTTTATTTAAATAAACAAATAAATCAATAAATAAATTTATTTATAAACAAAATTCCCAAACGGTCACCCATCAAATTATTAACCGCGCCTAAAATCGCTTAACTTTCATGATCGAACGTCAACCACCACTCCGCTCCTAATATGTCGACACACTTATCGTCATTTATTTTTATTCTCTTTTACCTACCTCTATAATTTTCTATTTTATTTTCTAATTTTCACGTTTCTTTTTAATTTAAAAAATAAATTATTTTGCATAATTTCTTTCAATAATAATAAAAAAAAAAAAAAATTAACCGGCGGATTCTAAAGAAACGTGTTCAATATTGAAATGTAAAGACTCATTAAACTGGGATGCGTTATATTCATGGCACGCCCTAAATAGAAGAAAATTACAATATAAGTGTGTGTGGAAAATTTCAGAAATTGCTCACTTGTAATAGGATGCTATCTATTATATGATTGTATCTAAATTACAATTCACAATGAGATGTTATAGGGAGATTATGAAAGAAATCTTTCTCCAATTCCAACATTTATACTAGTTTATAAAATTTTTCTCTTTTTTAATCTCCCATTAAAACACGGATTTAAACTCTTTCAGATGTTAAAGATTTTTTTTTTTTTTTTTTTGCTTCATTAGGAAACTAATTTTCCACTTTTATTTATTTAGTTATTTTTCTGATTATTTATTTCCATATTTTTATTTTATTTCTGTATTTAATTATTTATTTAATAATTTCTATATTTAATTATTTCTATATTTATTTATTTATTTATTTATATATTTAATAGTTTCTATATTTAATTCTTTATTTATTTATTTATTTATATATTTAATAATTTCTATAATTATTTATTTATTCAATTATTTATATATTTATTTATTTATTTATTTATTCAATTATTTTTTTATTTAATTATTTATTTAATTTTATATTTAATTACTTTTAAATTTATTTTTTTATAAATTTAATTAATTTTTTATTGGATATATTTATTTTGTTAATTTTTTTGTCCATTTAGTTTCATATTTTTATTTATTTCCGTATTTTTAATTATTTCTGTATTGAATTATTTCTATATTTATTTATTTAAACATTTAACTATTTTTATATTCAATTATTTCTATATTCATTTATTTAAATATTTAACTATTTTTATATTTAATTTTTTTCATATTTTTTTATTTATTTATAAAAAAATAGCTCGTTTTTAAGCCTATTTTGCAAATAATTAATTAAATAATTAAATAAATACTTGAATAAATAAATTAATAAACTATTAATCAAATAGTTAAATAAATAAATAAACAAATAGTTAAATAAATTAATAAATAAAAAATTAAATACATATTTACGTAATTGTTTAAGTAAACAATTTAATAAATTGTTAAATAAATAAATAATGAAATACATATTTAAATAATTGTTTAAATAAATAATTAAATAAATGCTTAAATAAATTATTAAATAAACAGTTAAAGAACTAATTAAATAAATAGTTAAATAGAAATATAAATAATTACATAAATAAATACTTGAATAAATAAATAAATATTTAAATAAATAATTGTATAAATAAATACTTGAATAAACAAATAATTAATTAAAAAAATAAAAAAATAAGTAATAATTAAATAAATAAATAAATAATTATATAAATAAATAAATGCTTGAAGGAATAAACAAATAAATATTAAATTTATGAATAATAAATAAATAATAAATAAATTATTAATAATAAATCATAATTCAGAAATAAATCCAAAGCTAAATGGCGCGCGAGGAAAATGATTTACTTTGACGATCAAAACGTGTCGATTGATTCTGATAAACTTGTAAATTGTGACATGAATTTCAACCCAAAGACTGTACAACAAAAATAAGGGGCAAATAGTCATTAGCGAGTTGAAGCACGAGTTTACGATTTACAAAAGCACATTTATCACTTTCACTGCGAGATGGGAGAATAAGTGTAGCATTACATACATTATAATATCAAAGTTCGAATTTTGCCCCTATTTCTTCTCGCATCTTCTCCCACTGACATTTAACAATTTGTAATAACATTTAAAACTATGTACAAATTTAATCCGAATGATCGAAACTAAATTCAATTCATACTAATATAAAAAATAATTAACAAAGTTAAATAACTTTTGTTAATTATTTTCCCTTTTCAAAATTAACAGCTAATAATTTTAATCTTTACCAAATTTTAACAAAATAATATTATTACTGACAAGTAAATTTTATTATTTTTTATTTATTAAAATTTAAATCTATTGGGGTCCCTTTACTGTCTCTTAATTTTCTCTCTTCAACTGTTTTTGCAATTTTATCTATTGTCGTTCGTTTATTGTTTCTAAAATTTCCCCCTTCAACTGTTTCTGAAATTTAAATTTTACTTTAAAAAAAAAAAAAAAAAAAAAAAAAAAAATTTACTACTTTATTTTAAGAAAGACAAAATTTTGTTTTATAATTAAGATAACGTCGTCTATCAGCAACCAAAAGTACAACTTAAAAACTATTTTTTTAACTATTTTTATTCGATTGCAGGCCTTTGTGGTCGCGCTTTTAGCGACTGGGATTCTGAGTGCACCTCAACGACCTCAAAGTGGATCTGAGAAGGATGCAGTCATCACCTCACAGCAACTTGAAGTCAGTCACGATGGATCCTACGTTAACAAGTGAGTTCCATTTTCCATTTTTGTTTTTTCAAATTTGAATTTTGTGAATTTATTTTCTTTTTCCTACTTTTCTATTAATTTTATTAATTTCATATCAATCCCCATATAACCTTCGAGTGCGGAATCCAAAATTTCTTTAGGCAGATTTCTTCAAAAGTTCCTATGCAAAAACTTCCAAAACAAAATTGTTTTGTATAAAATTATCATTCCATTGCGGACCACAAGGTATCTGTATGCAGATTTACCAAAAGTTTCTAAGCAAAACTAAATTTTAAAAAATTATTTTTACAAAGTTGTTTTAGTGCGGAATCCAAGGTATCTGTAAGCAGATTTCCCAAAAGTTTTTATATAAAAATAAATGAATAAAAAAATAATAATTACTTTAGTGCAGAGTCCAAGGTATCTGTAAGCAGATTTCTTAAAAGTCCTTAGGCAAAAATAAATAAATAAAAAAAAGTCTGTATAAAAATATTACTTCGTTTGGTATTTATCAAATGTATTTAATTTCTTTGTAATTTATCTAAATATTTATTTACTAAACTATTAAATTTTGACTATTTAAATACCATTTCAGTGGCCCACCTAAACTAACCATTCCTTTAAGAAGAATTTTTGGAAAAGTAATGTCGAAATCGTGGTAAAAATAAAAAGTATTTCAATGCCCCCCTAAACTAATCATTCGGTAAAAATTCGTGGAGTAGAGTATCCATTACCAAACTATTCCGGAAGTATTCAAGAACGTCCGAATGGTATTTTTGACTCTTTTTTGATTTCTTGTTTAAGACGCATAATAAGATTTTTGATATAACTTATTGGTAACATATTTGTTATATTTTTTAATATTTTATTTTCTTTTTGTTTTATCAATGTTATAGTATGTTTTATTTATTTTATTTGTTTCTTTTTCACAACAATTATGGATTATAGTTACGGATCCGCGTCATGAATATTAGACTCTACATTTATAATTTTTCTATTATTATTTTTTTACTGTATTATGTAATTTTTTTTTCTTTGTTGTTTCTCCACTCAAAAATGTATTCATCTATTGTTCCTTGGAGGGCTCATTAGCCCTAGGAACCGTTTAAATAAATAAATAAATACAAATTTAGAATTCGGTTCTTAGAAACCAAACGGCGAAAATTGTCAAGGTCGGCATTTGCGATTAAAGTAATGAAAAGTAATAAACAAAGCGAAATACTTAATTCCATCGACCATCAACTTTAGAAAGCGAAATTGTTTTCAAAATTGCAAGACATTTTAATGATGATATTCAAACTACAATAACAATAAGAGGAATTAAAAAAAAAATTAATGATTTATCGGGTTTGTTAGAGCAGGTCCAGTTAACTCTTAAAGAAATTTTTCAAACTCTGACAATTATCGAAATTTATTAAAATTCAAGGAGTGGTTCTGACAATTATAATCATAATCATCAACAAAATTTGCAAAATCAATTACCAAAATTAGTATCTGGAACCAATGTTTTAAGTTATAATCATGCGAGTAGAAATCATAATGTATGTTAAGCTGTCGAGCAATAATCGCAGATGTCTGGAAATAAATAAATATTAATAAAATAAATATGAATACATAAAAAAATGTAACTAAATAGATGAAGATAAGAAACTGAATTATTTGTTTTTTTCTCACCACAGTTTCGAGACGAGCAACGGCATCAGCCATCAGGAATCGGGACAGACAAAGCAAGTCGATCAGGAAACGCCGGTCGTTGCTCAAGGTTCGAATTCTTATACATCGCCAGAAGGTGAAAGAGTGAGCATAACATTTGTGGCCGATGAAAATGGCTATCAAGTTCAAGGCTCCCATATACCAACACCACCTCCAATTCCACCAGAAATTCAAAAGGCGCTCGCCTGGATTCTCGCTCATCCCGAGGAGAATGATTTGGGACAGGGAAATCCACCACCTAGAAGAGGTAGAAAAATATAAAAAGAAAAGTAAATTTACAACTTAAATAAAAATTTTCTAATTTTAATCACATGTCCCTAAAAGTTATCGTCGACGTTCAGCACCAAAAACTATTGTTCGGTTCCTTGTAGAGATGCAAATTTTACTAACATCACTCGGAAGTTAAAAATATGTTCGCGATCATTTTTTAAACCGTTAGGTTTAAAAAAGGATCGTGAACATATCTTTAATCTTCTAAAATTAATAAGATTTCAATCTTCAAGAGAAAAAAAATTGTTTCCTTATTCTCCATTTCGTCTATTTGTTTCCTCAACGATGAAACCTCTTCTCACTATGATTTCTGTTGACATTCCAAATTATTATCAAAATGAAAATATACTGATGTGTTCTATTAACTAATATTCTCACTATTAAACATGTTTTTGTCAAACTTAAGCAAATCAACTATATAAATTGTGGAAACATTTTGTATTCCTCTCTATATAAGCGTTGTGTCATCACTTCAAATCAACTTATATATATATTTTTTTTCTTTTATATTTTTAGTACTTTTGTACGAAAGGGCACGGCCCGTTTACATAATAATAAATAAATAAATAATTAATAAAAAATACGAAATAAATTTCAGGTTGATCATCATCATCCCAAAACGCGACACATTCGAAAGAATCCAGCATCCATGGACAAAATAGACCCCAGCTTTCCATCTATTCCATATAAGAATAATTATATTGTGGTATAATAATATAATCCATAAAAAAAATTAATAAAAATACGCATTATAGAAATTTGTTATTAAAAAAAAACCAATAGGCATGTATCGCGATTCGTTAACAATCGAACCGACAAAAAAGAATTTAGTTTTTTGTACCAAAAAATTAAAAAAAGAAAAGAATGTTAATCTAGAGAATAAAAATACTTTTTTTTTGTTACGACTTCGTGACACAATGAGCGACAATGTGCTTATATTATTAATATTATTATTAAAATAATTATTACCAATTACCATCGTTTTGTAATTTTTTTTTCTCGTCACTACTGTCTGCTATTAATTTTTTGTCGAGCAGATAAGAAAAAAAAGAGCTAATTATATTTTATTATTATAAATAAATAAAATAAATAAAAATAATTTTATTTTCCACACATAAACACACACAAACACTGTGCTGCACAAATATTGCAAAAAAAAAAAAAGAAAAGTCAATGAATGTGTAAATTGTGATTTTAAATATATGTAAATAAAGATTTTTCTCAATAGTGATAATTCCATTTTTATCAATTGTTTCGTTTTTTTTTTCTCTATTGTCTTCTTCTATTTTTAATTTCTAAAAAATTGGATGTTTGTTTGTTTCTTTTTTAAAAATATTTAGAAGATTCCTTTCACTATGGATCGTTCAGTATAAAAAGAATTTGGAACAATTTTCTAATTAATAAATGAAAAAATAATTAATGGAAGAAATTTGGAACGCGCCTGGAAGCTAACACTAATTTGTAAAAAAATTTTGAAAAGATAATTTCTTTGATAAAGAATTGAAGAAATTGGATTTTTTTTTGTCACAAACTAAAATCAACTATTTTTTATTTAAAAAAGTGGAATATATTTTTAGTAATTTAGTTCCCTTAGTAACAAATTAATAAATTCGATTGCTTTGAAATGACAGAAATAATTGTTTTGGAAATTTCTCCCTTGAATTCTTTTCACTACATAAATTTTATTTTACTTAATTATAAAATTAATTTAGTTTTCCTATTGGGGTCCCTTCATTGTCTCTGAAATTTCTACCTTCAATTGTATTTACAAGTAAATTTCATTTTATTTATTAATACAATTTATTCATCTATTTAATTTTCCTTTATCTATTGGGGTCCCTTAATTGTCTCTGAAACTTCTCCCTTCAATTATTTTCACAATTTAAATTCTACTATCCTAATTCAAGAAAGACTTAAATTTTTGTTTGTGATTTGTATATTTGTTTATAAATATATTTTTTTTATTTCTTACTTGACAGAAATTAATAATAATTATTATTATGATTAATATAAGAATAGAAAAATGAATAAAGAAATTAATATTACAAACAAAAAATATAAATTTTGTTCATCGGAGGCGTCAACCAGTTTTGTAGAATTTTCCAAGGGACCCATTGTTAGAAAGGTTCGTTCTATTAGTAAATGCGTCAGGACGGGTCAGCAAAAAGGACGCGTCAGCAAAAATCAATCAAAATCCTTAGTGAAAAAACTGAACAGCAGTTTTTTTTTATTGTTTCTATTTTTTACTTTAATATCAAAATTCTATTTTTTGTTTCTAAATATAATTACCAAGAAAAGAGAAAGAAGAGGCGCGCATAATTTTTAATTATACAAAAATAATTACGTTTCTAAATCCATTAATTTTACTTCCAATAAATTGTGAGGCTAACAACTGTAACCTTTAATTTTTCATCACATTTTATTTTAATTATATTATATGGTTATTAATCTCTAATTTATATCTTTGCAATAAAAGAACCCAAGAGTGAAAAAGAGAAGGAAAGTATAAATATTTATTTTTAATTAAATTTTTAAATTGAAAGTTAATTTTTGGATGAACGTATTTTAACTATCTACTACTATTTTTAGTGTCACGTCATCCTGACGTATTTTTAATTATTAATAATTATTGATAATTGATGATTTTTTGACTTTTTTTTACTCTTTTTTAATTTCTTGTTTAAGACGCATAATAAGATTTTTGATATAACTTATTGGTAACATATTTGTTATATTTTTTAATATTTTATTTTCTTTTTGTTCTATCAATGTTATAGTATGTTTTATATATTTTATTTGTTTCTTTTTCACAACAATTATGGATTATAGTTACGGATCCGCGTCATGAATATTAGACTCTACATTTATAATTTTTCTATTATTTTTTTTTTACTGTATTATGTAATTTTTTTTCTTTATTGTTTCTTCACTCAAAAATGTATTCATCTATTGTTCCTTGGAGGGCTCATTAGCCCTAGGAACCGTTTAAATAAATAAATAAATATGTAGCATAGTAATTAATAATAATAAAAGTGGTAATGATCATCCCCACATTAACTGGAATTCTTTATCCAGGTATCTGAGTTCATAGATTTTCCACTTCCGGCTACAAACTAAAATTCTTTATCCAGGTATCTGAATTCACAGATTTTCCACTTCCGACTAAAAAAAAAAATTATAATAATGATGATGACAACAATAAAATTAGTAATAACAGAAAATAATTATTATTTACATATTATTGAACATAATTGTTCGAACTAATAATTCAATTGTATATTAACTAATTGTAACTTTTAATTTTAACTTTTAATTGTAATTAACAAAATTGTAATCACAAATAATTATAAACAACACTTGTATTATAAAGTAGAACAGGATCTATAGTCAGTACTTTCTTTTGGTTTAAATAAAGAAGTATTTATTTATTTGGAAAATAATTCAACTACAAAAAAAATGCTGTACTAACTACTCTACTAGGGATCAAAAATTAAAATATTTATTTATTATTTATTTTTTAAAAACTCTTCTGATGAGTTACCCAAGGTGCTAATAATGATGACAGATGTTGAAGGCATTTTGCAGAAAAGTGTCATTAGTGCAATATAATAATTATTGGAATCAATAAAGAAGGCGAGATTTTTTTATTTCTCTCATCAGCGAGGAATTAATATACTTGAACTTATCAGAAGTACCCTCATTAAAAATGATTTGCATAATATTACATTATCCAATGAATGAAAACTGTCGACTAGAGGTTTACCTGTCATTTATAAACGCACTTTGGTGGGGGATCTGCAATAATTACAACAGATATCATTGCAGGGATGAGCAAAAGTGGCCTCAACCGGTATCAAGTTTAATTATGTGACATTTGACGCAATATGTCAAAGAATAGTCAACTTTTTTCCCGCTATAAAAGCAATGCTAGCGTGTTCCAATCATCATAATATAGTTTAGTTGCAGGTAGGTTCGCACTGATTCTCTCTTTCTGGTTCAAATTATTTTTCTGCCCCAAAATGCTACTCCTACCACTATTACTACTATTCTAATACTCACCAACTCCGATTAAAAGTTAATTAAAGTCTATTTTATGACCAGACCCTGATTGGTCGGTTAAGGATTTAATCATTGATTAACTTTTAATCGAAGATTGTGAATCTGGCCCTATTCTGATATCTAATACAAATTCTGATTGCTTTTTCAAATTCTGTTCCAGATACAAAAATGTTATTCCTTTTGGCGTCGTTGGTTGGAATCAGTTTGGCAGCAATTCCTCCGGCGCGTCCTCCTCCGTCACCGCAGTACGAAAAAGACGTGGCCATTCCGATACTGCATCAGGCGTCGGAGGTCGGTCCAGATGGGACGTTTTTCAATCAGTACGAAACGGCGAATGGAATTGTCTACGAGGAGAGGGGGACTTTGAAGAACATTGGACAGAATGATGAGGCAGCGTCCGTGCAGGGAACGGCGAGTTGGCCATCGCAGGATGGAACCCCGATTAGAATAGATTGGCAGGCCGATGAAAATGGAGCGGTCTTTCAGGGTGATCACCTACCGACGCCACCTCCGATTCCACTTTTAATTCAACGTGCTCTCGATTGGTTGGCCGCCAATCCATCGCGACAGGAGGACGATAAAGTTGACCTGAAAGCCCGGAGGGGAGAATAAATAAAATTATTTTTACCAAACAGTTTGTACTTTTCTTTCGATAAACTAACATCCATTCGATGGACTTCGAATTACTGTTGTTGATTTAATTTTGGAAATTTTTTCAAAAAAGGAATGATTGGTTTAGTGGGGCATTGAATTTATGACGGACTCCGAATTACTGTTGTCGATGAACAGGAATTTATTCTAAAAGGAATGATTGGTTTAGTGGGGCATTGAATTTATGACGGACTCCGAATTACTGTTGTCGATGAACAGGAATTTATTCTAAAAGGAATGATTGGTTTAGTGGGGCATTGAATTTATGACGGACTCCGAATTACTGCTGTCGATTTAACTTCGAAATTTATTCTAAAAGGAATGATTGGTTTAGCGGGGCATTGAATTTATATGACGAACTCCGAATTACTGTTGTCGATCAACAGAAATTTCGAAATGATTCGTTTAGGGAGGCATATTAAACTATTGAATTATATTACGAGTTTATATTTTTGTGCTGTGAATTGAATAAAACTAATATTTGTTCCAGTGACTCCAAGTGAAATCCTAAATTATCCCGGTGGGTAACAATTAGTAAAGGTCATTAGGGAACCACTAGTGGAATTTTGTTAATTAATAGATAATATCAATCCGCGGGGTTTCAGCACAAAATTATCCGCTTTCCTATTCTGCGAAGGAGGTGAAGTTCCAGACAGAAATTAAGTGTCAAGAATCACATTTACCGAAACTATACATTCACGCAGCTTGATTACCCAGTAATGAAACGTTGGGGGTCAGAGATCGGATTGCCGCAACGTTCAAAGAATCGCGTAATAGTGCGCTCGTTGGTAGGAAAAATGGAAGGAGCGAATATCGAGGCAAGTAGCAACGCAAGTAGTCTTCTTGGCTTGATGTTCCCATTTCGATAAGCATTAGTGGGAGAAAAGCTAGAGGAATATAAATGTTTTCATGATTAGAAAACTCAGCGTCAGCGCCACAAATTTCAATAAATATAATATTTATATTTTTTACACTTTAATAAATGTACAATAAAGTCCTCACATCATAATTGTGATTGCCTTCGTAGTTTGCTTTAAAAAAATTCCCAAAAAACACCAATTTTTTCGACCTCTAGAGTGTCATAACCCCTTAAGCCACCATCAGGTAGGACCACCCACTGGTCCCATCTTCATTCCCCTCGGTGGGGGGCCCAAACACAAGAGATTCAATTGATTTTTCTACCTGCCATTGAGTATTAATTTTTCTACCTGCCATTTGCTATCGCAAATTAATACTCAATGGCAGGTAGAAAAATTAATTCCACTTGGAAAAGCAAAAGGAAAAAAAAGGAAACGGAAGTCGATAGGAAACATACCATACCGAACAATGAACTAATTCTCTCCGAACGCAGCATTTATTGTTCCTTTTGCATTTATCATTAAGTTACATATGCCACTCGTCGAAATAGTGGTTCTTGTATGTAAAAAGTAGGAAATAGGCGGTAATTAAAAAAAAATGGTACTAAAAATTAGTTTAAAGATAAAAATAAATATGTACAACAAAAAAGAAAATACTATTACAAAACAGAAATCATTAATCGTTTAAAATTCAAGGGTCATTTCTTCATCATCATTATTTTGAGATCAGGTCCTTCACTTGAAATCTTAGTTTCTAAACATTGTTCTGATCCTCCTTTGATGGATTCGCGGCTATCCACTCGAGGGCCCTTTGAATTGCCGCTGGAATGGGTGGTGTCGTTGGTAAATGTGCACCTTGGGGTTGGAAACCATTTTCATTGGCCACGTAGGTTAAGGATATTTCTTGGCCCTCGTTATCTTTATAGGAGACGGAACCTTGCGCTTCAACGGCTGCATTCTCTGAACCTGCGTTCTTCACTTGACCACTTTCTTCGGCTTTTATTCCATTTCCTGTCTCGTACTTCCAACTGTAGGATCCGTCGGGATTTGGTCCATCGGATTCTTGGGAGACTATGGGAACTGGTTCGTCTGCGGGTGCAGCGACTGCACACGCTGCTAGCGCAATTACTGCTATCTGGAAGAAAACAAAAATCAGAAGTTGGGAAATTGTGGGGATGGATTTTTTTAGGGGGTTGATTTTTGAAACTATGACTTTAGGTGTCGCATGATGGTTGCGACATGATGAATGGTATTCTTGAATCACTCGTGAAATAGTGCGAATGGAATTGTTTTTGGGGTTTGATTTTTGAAACTATGACAATAGGTATCACATGTCGTATGCGACATGATGAATGGTATTCTTGAATCAATCGTGACGTATCGAGAATTAGTTTTAGAAAAAGGAGAAGAGGGTAAAGATACAGGAAGAGGAGAAGATGATAAAGATACAGAAAAAGAAGAAGGGGATAAAGATATAGAAGGAGGAGAAGAGGATGAAGATGCAGAAAAAGCAGAAGAGGATAAAGATACAGAAAGGGGAGAAGAAGATAAAGATGCAGAAAAAACAGAAGAGGATAAAAATACAGAAAGGGGAGAAGGGGATAAAGATACAGAAAGGGGAAAAGAGGATAAAGATACAGAAAGAGGAGAAGATGATAAAGATCCAGAAAAAGGAGAAGGGGATAAAGATACAGAAAGGGGAGAAGGGGATAAAGATACAGAAAGAGGAGAAGATGATAAAGATCCAGAAAAAGGAGAAGGGGATAAAGATACAGAAAGAAGAGAAGAGGATAAAGATACAGAAAGGGGAGAAGAGGCTAAAGATACAGAAAAAGGAGAAGAAGAAAATTATGCAACAAACCGTTCGGTGTAATTGTTAAATGCTTGTATACCGAAGTGGATAAAAAAGAGCGATAGATAAATAATGTTTGTGGATTGTGAATAGAAAAGTGTGGGATAGACCGTATCGTATCGGTTTGTCGATGTCGGCGCGGCGCACACGTTACCAATACATAAATTTCCATCTATTCCTCTCTATAACAGGCAGTAATTCACGATCTCTCTTTGATAAGAATAAACACATCGCACCTTTAACATTTTTTTGTGTCGCAACATTTTCACTTCTGTTCATCTTCCCATAAACGAATCATTAAATATTTTCCTCTGGCATTCCTCGAATTATTCGCGAACCCCCCAACAGTATCAGAATAAATAAAGCGGGAAGAGACGATATTCTACCGAATAAAGATAAAAGTAGTGTGAAAAAGGGAGGACATCGATCACTGGGTCAGTATTTTAAAAGTTTATTTTTTTGAATCATATTGTCCATGTCTTCCGGGAGGGTCAGTCTTCGTCCGGACGTATTCTAAGATAAACGTCTTTCGAATTTTTTCAGTACGGAGTCGATGCCTGAACAATAAGTACTTAATGTTCTTCTTTTTATTAATTTTGATTATTATTCAATGAATTAATTATTAAATTAATAAGAATTAATAACAATAGTTAATAAAAAAAAAAAACTTGTAGCAATTTATACAATTTTTGTAATAAACGAACATCTTTAACCGTAAAAGGCCTCTAAATACTATTATCAATATTATTGAAAAACGGTTCTTAAATAATTTTATTAATAGTTTTTAAATAAATAAGAATCATTAAATATTATTATAAAAATGAAATTACATGAAAAATAAATGTAAATTTTTATGAAAATAAAAGTATTATAAAATGAAAGTATAAGGAAATATAAATAAAAATGAAACTAATAGTAAAATTAAAACGAATTTTAAGTTACAACCAAATTAAAATAAATGTAAACTTAAAGTAAATTCAAAGATAAATTAAAATAATGTTAAATGTAAAAATTTAATAAAAATAAATGTGTATTAAAAAATTAAATTAAAAGTAAATGTAAATGAACATTAAAGAAATAAATGTAAATTAAAATGAAATTAAAAGAAAATGTAAATAAAAATCTAATTAGAAATGAAATTAAATATTTAAATTAAATTCTAATAAAAGTAAAAGTGTATTACTATGAAAGTAGAAGTAAATGTAAATAAAAGTGAAATTAAAAGTAAAGTTAACATGAAATTTAAGTTATAATGAAATTAGAAATGAAATTAAAATAAATGTAAATTGAATTTTAAATAAAAGTAAAATTAAATTAAAATAAATGTAAATTAATTTGAAAGAGAAATTAAAAAGTAAATTTAAATTAAAATGTAAGCAAAAGTATGATTATTCAAATGAAATTAAAAGTAATTGTAAATAAAAATGAAATTAAAAGTAAATTTAAAAAAAACTGAAATTAAATTAAATGTAAACTTATAAAGAAATTTCAGTTAAATTAAAAGTAAAATTAAATTTTAATGAAATATTTATAATTAATATTAAATTGAAAGTTGAAATTAAATTAAATGAAAAATTATAATGAAACGGTAGTTAAATTAAAAGCCAAATTAAATTTAAATAAATTTTCAATGAAGATTAAATTGAATGTGAAATTTACGTAAAATGAACGTTAGTTAAAATGAAATTAAAAGTAAATGTAAATAAAAATTAAACTAAAATTAAATTAAATGTAAAATTATAATGAAATTTTAATTAAATTAGAAGTAAAATTAAATTTGAATAAACTTTTAATTAAAAGTTTATTAAAAAGTTTATTAATAAAATTGAAAATGAAATTAAAACAAATGTAAATTGAAATAGAAGTGAATTTAAAATAAATGTAAATTAAAATGAAATTAAAAGTATAATAAAATGAAATTAAATGTAAATCTAAATAAAAATGTAAATAAACGTAAAACTAAAATTAAATTAAATGTAAAATTATGCTGAAGTTTCAATTAAATTAAAAGTAAAATTAAATTTTGAATAAATTTAGGTACAATTAAAATTAAATTTACAATTAACATTAAATTTACAATTAACATTAAATTGAAATTTAAAATTGAAATTTAAAATTGAAATTTAAAATTAAATTTAAAATTAAATTTAAAATTAAAAATTGAAATGAAAAATTATAATGAAATGTTAGTTAAATTAAAAGTCAAATTAAATTCACATAAATTTTGAATTAAGATTAAATTGTAAGTGAAATTTAAGTAAAAAGAACGTTAGTTAAAATGAAAGTAAAAGTATATTAAGATAAAAAATTAAAAGTAAATGTAAATAAGAATTAATCTAAAAGGTAAAACTAAAATTAAATTAAATATGTAAAATTGTAATGAAATTTTTTTTTTTTTAATTTAAAATTGAAAATAAATTTAAAGTAATTGTACATTAAAATGAAATTAAAAGTATTTAAAAGTATTTAATAAAACATTCAATTTAACGATCATTTATTAAATTATTTAAAACAATCGAGTCATAAATTCATATAATTTTTTAGAAATTAAAAGTAGTTTAGTGATTTAAAATTAAATTGGAAATAATTGTAATTTAAAATAAAACTGAAAGTAATTGTTAATTCTTAATTGTTAAGTAAAAATTAATTTAAAAGTTTTATGAATTGAAAATAAATTAAAATTTTTTTTATTTAAATAAATTTAAAAAATTCTATTTTTAAAGAAATGTAAAGTGAAATATAAGTAACAAGTCAATTAAAAATAGAATTGAAAGAAGCTTGTTTATTTGTTTCCAAAAGTTTTTTTTTTTTTTTTTTTTTTTTTTTTTTTTTTTTTTTTTTTAATAATTAATAAACATTTCTTCTAAATCTTTGCCAGTGGATAAATTTTTCTCCCTCTTGACAATTTAGTTTTCCAATTCGTAAATAAAATTAAAATTCCCTCCTCCGACACCTGAACTCTTTGGTAGTAAAATTCACAAGACACTTGACACTCACGAGAAAAATAAATTGTCGAATTTCGTCCGAACACTCGCGATCTTCAATCTTTCCAGTTCAAAGTTAGAGCCTTGCACTACTAACCCCAAATACCCTTCGGGGTATTCCCTCCCACTACGGAAATGAACGTCTTCACATTAGGGCCGAATTGAATTTTTAACGGATTTTCTCGTCAAAAAAAAAAAAAAATGCCATTGACTAAAGGAACCATTCTTTTTTTTTTTTTTTCTTTTCGCAAAACGCTTACCAAAGATGGGTACATGCTGCAGGAATAATCGTTGACTGGCAAGTGTTTATTAAGCCCGGCAGCACTCGGCATTTATATACCCCTTCAAGGCATAGAGGTTGAGGATGTTTCACGACCCCGCCGTGGATGAACATGGGAATGTATTTACACGCGCCAAGGGTACACATACAGGGGACACGATGATAATGATGATGATGATGATGTGTCTCCATATATATATGTATACACATTTTCCTAATCGTATCCGTAATCGTATCTCGTGTATTGGTGCATGAAAACAACACACCATATACATCAAAGATTCCTTAGGATCAGTGTGTCGCAGTGCAGTGTGCCTCTAAATGTCATCGAGTCTATATCGTTAAAGGATACCTTACTCAATTGTCATAACTTCAAGATATAGACCCCATCGCACTAAATTATCTCTCTAGACGTGTGGCATTTTTTTTTTTTTTTTTTTTTTTTTTTTTGGGGGTAAACGATTTTACTTGATTTGCATTACACACCAACTTTTATGGGTATTTTGATTTTTTGTTTTGTATGAATATAAATAAATGTTTTAGTTCTCTGGTGTTGGTGGACAATGGACTTTGTAACATTACAAGCGAATGTTCTTGAATCATTAAAATCATTAAAAAAAATGGAATCATTAAAAAATAAAACATGTAATGTTTTATTTTTTTTCTGTTTTTTTATTCAAGAACATTAAAATTTTGACCAAAGGTTCTTATTCTTCTTAACCATTTTCTTACTCTAAATAAATAAATAATTAATGTTTGTTTTGTACCTGAATGGTATGTGAGAGAAAAGTAATAAAAAAGAAAAAAATACTAAAACACAAAAATAAAATAATAGAAAATATTTTAATTTGTATCTAGATGATAAGTGAGAGAAAAATAAAAAAAAATAAAAAAACATTTTGATTTGTACCTGGACGATATGTGAGAGAAAAATAATAAAAAATAAAAAAAAATTATAGAAAATAGTACCTACCTAATAAAAAATAAAAAAAAAAATAAAACACAATAAATAATAAAAAACATTTTAATCTTTACCTGGATGGTATGTGAGAGAAAAATGAAAAAACAAAAAAACAATAAAAAAAACATTTTGATTTTATGGTGTATGTGAGAGAAAAATATTAAAAAATAAAACAAAAAAAATAAAATAATAGAAAATAGTAATAAAAAATAAAAAAAAAAATAAAACACAAAAAATAAAATAATAGAAAATAGTAATAAAAAATAAAAAAATAAAATAATAGAAAATAGTAATAAAAAATAAAAAAAATAAAACACAAAAAATAAAATAATAGAAAATAGTAATAAAAAATAAAAAAAATAAAACACAAAAAATAAAATAATAGAAAATAGTAATAAAAAATAAAAATAATAAAACACAAAAAATAAAATAATAGAAAATAGTAATAAAAAATAAAAAAAAACACAAAAAATTAAAATAATAAAAAAAATTTTAATTTGTACCTGGACGGTATGTGAGAGAAAAGTAATAAAAAAAAAATACAAAAAATTCGTTCCAAAGAATTTATTAAAATTTTCTAAAAATAATTGAATTATTTTCGAAGAATTTTATACAAATATTTAAAAATAATTAAATTCTTTTGAGAAATTCAATTATTTTCTATTTTTTTTTTTGACAAATATCTTTAAAAATTCCATTTAGTATAATTTCATTTTCACATAGATTTTTTTTTAAAAATATTTTCAGAATAATTGAATTATTTTTTAGAGAATTTTAAATTATTTGTTAAAATTTAATTTTTATGGAAATTTTCAACAAAAAAAATTCTTGTAATTTTATTTAAATTGGATTAAAAATAATTTAATTTCTGCAAAAAATATTAGTATTTATAAAAATAGTTTGAATTGTTTTGAAAAATTTATTAAAATTTTAGAAGAAAATTGAATTTTATGAAAATATTTTTAAATATTTGAATTATTCAGAGGAATTCAATTAAAATTTTATTTCAAAATAATTGAATTCCTCCAAAGAATTTTACTATATTTATAAAAATAATTGTAATTCTTGTGAAGATTTAAAAAAAAAATAGTTGAATTTATTCGAAATTTATTAAATTTTTTTTCTAAATTGAATTCTTGCGGGGAATTCAATTAAAATTTTGTTTTAAAAATAATTGAATTCTTGCAAAGAGTTTTACTATTTATTCTTTATAAATAATAATTATAAATATAATTAAATTGTTGTCAAGGATTTATTAAAATTTTATAAAATAATTGAATTTTTTAAAAAAATTTTTATAACGAAATTAAGAAAAAAATTTAAATTCTTTCGAGAAATTTTATTTTGAAAATAATTGAATTTTTGCCAAGATTTTACTATTTAAAAAAATAATTTAATTGTTTCGAAGAAATTTTTCTGAATTTTTGAAAATAATTGAGTTTAAAAATTTTGAAAATAATGATTTTTTTTTTTTTTTTTTTTTTAATAAAGAATTTAATCAAAATTGTTGAAAATAATTGAATGTATATTAAAATTGTTGAAAATAATCAAATTCTAATCAATATTTTTAAAAGTAATTGTATTCCTTCGAAAAATTTTATTAAAATTGTATTAAAAATAATTGAATTAATCTAAAAAACAATATTTATTTTTTATTTAAAATATCTTGAAATTCATTTTGATGCAGAAGGAATTAAAAGGTATTTTTGATACAAAAAGGTTCAAATACAAAAGGTTATCTCACCGAGAAACAAAATTGACATGTGAATTAAAATATTTATAAATTTATAAATTTATAATTAAAAAAGAATTTATAACGATTTCCTGATTGCTTCTGAATTTTAATTATGTTTTACACTTTGATAGTGTGTACTCATAACAAATTTTCGTATTATATAATTTTCACCTTTCATAAAGCAATATAATGGAGAACAACATATATAAATCTGTCAAAAAAAAAAAAAAAAAAAAAAAAAAAAAAAAATCGTAGGTATAAGATCTAGCGACATCATTCATTCTCTTGTGTATAGAGAAATAATCTTTCAAACAATAAACTACATGTTTTTATGGATAAGACATTTTCATTGTTTAATAACAACAATTGTGTTTCTAAAAATACAGAGAGTGAGATAAAAATATATTCGAGAAAATAGAGATGTAAGAAGGAAAATGAAACATAATAGAATAGAAAAAAATAAAAAATACAACAAATAAAAAAAAATAATTAAAAAAAACTAAAAAAAAAATTTTTTTAATGAAATAAAATTATAAAGAACATTTTAATTTGTACCTGGATGGTATGTGAGAGAAAAATAATTGAAAGCATTTTTGGTAAAATAATAAAAAACTTAGATTTTTACCTGGATGGTATGTGAAGGAAAAATAATTTGAAACATTTTTATTTCTATTTTGATGGGTATGTAAGAGAAAAAAAAAATAATAGAAAATTTAGAAAATAATAAAAAAAGTTTAGTGAAAAAATTAAAAAGTGCAATAAATTCAAAAGAAAAGTGAAAAATAAAAAAAAAATATTGAAAAGTATAAAAAATAAGTAACGAAACAATAAAAATAATAATAAGGAAAGAAGATCGAATTAGAAGTTAGAAGGACATTTTTTTTTTTTTTGCAATTAATCAAGTAATAATAATCATTGCCTCGAGACTTTGAAGAATTTTAATTTAACATCTAATGTGTATTAACAGTTAATATATTTTTCTTTAATAGACTGGACAACCTCAAGAGAAATGTGTCAGACATTTTTCTCCTCAAAACTTTAATATCATATTTTTTTTATATATTATTTTCGAAAAATATAAGTAAAAAATAATTAATGAAATAATTTAAGTAAATAATTTAAATGAATAATTTCAAAATTAAAATAATTTAAATAAAAAAGAAAATAGCAGAAATGGGGAAAAAAATAAATAATATTTTTAAAAAAGGAAATAAAAAATACAGGATATAAATTACAAAATTGCAAAAAAAAAAAAAAAAAAATAGAAATGAAAAGAATAAGTAGAAAATAAAAAAAATTCTTTCAGGATTATTTAAATTTGCTTATTTAATTCAAAACATCAAACAAGTTCAGTCAAGTGGTAATTTCCTAAATGTCGTTTCTTGTTTGCAGTTTGTACAGTTTATGGGAGTGTATATGGGTGTGGATTTTGTGGGAAAAAAGAAAAATAGGGCATCAGAAGTTTTTTTTCAATAACACAATAAAGTTCTATTATTTATCTTTTACTATTTATTTTTTACAATTTATTTATTTTTAACATTTTTTTACTATTTATTTACTTTAACTATTTATTTACTCTATTTACTTACTTTTACTGTTTATTTACTTTTACTATTTACTTACTTTTACTATTTATTTTGTACCATTTACTTACTTTACTATTTATTTTGTACTACTTACTTACTTTTACTATTTTCCTACTTTTACTATTTATTTACTTTTACTATTTATTATTTATTTTGTACTATTCACTTACTTTTACTATTTATTATTTATTTTGTACTATTTATTTACTTTTACATTTACTATTTACTTACTTTTACTATTTATTTACTTTTACTATTTATTTTGTACCATTTACTTACTTTACTATTTATTTTGTACTACTTACTTACTTTTACTATTTACTTATTTTTACTTTTATTTACTTTTATTTTTTATTTTGTACTATTTATTTACTTTTACATTTACTATTTATTTTGTACTACTTACTTACTTTTACTATTTTCCTACTTTTACTATTTATTTACTTTTACTATTTATTATTTATTTTGTACTATTCACTTACTTTTACTATTTATTATTTATTTTGTACTATTTATTTACTTTTACATTTACTATTTATTTACATTTACTATTTACTTACTTTACTATTTATTTTGTACCATTTACTTACTTTACTATTTATTTTGTACTACTTACTTACTTTTACTATTTACTTATTTTTACTTTTATTTACTTTTATTTTTTATTTTGTACTATTTATTTACTTTTACATTTACTATTTATTTTGTACCATTTACTTACTTTACTATTTATTTTGTACCATTTACTTACTTTACTATTTATTTTGTACTACTTACTTACTTTTACTATTTACTTATTTTTACTTTTATTTACTTTTATTTTTTATT